CCTTTGGCTCTTAATCATATGCTACCTATTGAAATGGCTGAACATCAACCAGTTCTTTTTGGTAAAGTGATTTGTATATTCCTTTTATCTTCTTTTGATGCCTTCTGTATTATTCAGTATTTTACCCATAAAATCGTTCACTATTACATGTCAAGGCTTGAATTATTTCTTCAGTTCTTTCAGCTTTGAAATTTTCTGTTCAGCTCTTTTATCTCATTTCTTTCATTTGCTTTAGTATCTCTATGCTGGAGAGCAAGATTCAAAGTCTTTCCTGTCATCCATTTTAGGCTTTTCCTTCGTTCTTTTCTTCTTAATGACCTTTTGCTTTCTTCCTGTATGATGTTCTTGATATCATCCCACAATTCTTCTGGTCTTCGGTCATTAGAGTCTAATGCATCAAATCTGTCCTTCAGATGATCTTTAAATTCAGCTAGGATATACTCAAGGTCATATTTTGACTCTCATAAATTTGTTCTACAATTGATGGTCAGTTCCATATTCTGCCCTGGCCTTGTTTTGGATGGTGATAGTGAGTTTTTCCACCATCTCATCCCACAGATATTGTCAATTTGATTTCTGTGTATTCCATCTGACATCCATATGTACTTTTATGTTGTTTAAAAAATGTATTTGCAATGAATAAGTCATTAATCTTTCAAAATTCTATCTGGGGTCTCCAGCATCATTTCTATCACTAAGGCCTTATTTTCCTGATCCTTCCTGTGTTTCCAACCTTTGCCTTCCGATCACCAGGAATTACCAAGACATCTTGATTGCGTGTTTCTTCAATTTCAGACTGGAGAATTTGATGGAATTCTTCAATTTCATCATCACTGGCTGTAATAGTTGGTGTATAAATGTGAATAACAGTGGTATAACAGATCTTCCTTGTTTTATTATGCTTAATTACTTATGTGAATTTTAAGCAGATATGAGTATTAAGTATATGCAAACTAAAATAGAAAGGATCCCTTTCTATAAGAGCACAGATATTGCACTGCTGCTTATTGAAATGTCTGAGGTTTAAGCCCACGGAGCAGTTCCATGGGAGAAAATACTTGACAATCTGCTCCCATAAACACTGCAGCCTAGGAAACCTATGGGGCAGTTCTATTCTGTCATATAGAGTCTCTATACGTGGGAACAGATTCAATGGCACAGAACATGCTTATGGGAAAAATTCATGGAACGTTCCATCATCTTTTCATTTCATTTTTCCACAAACTTTCTGAAGCTCCCTCTTAGTGAACTTCTAAAGTCTAAGGTTTAATTTATAGTAGAATACTAGTGTTAATATCTTAGTTTTGTAATTGTACTATGGTTGTGTAAGATGCTTACATTGGAGGAAACCAAGTGAAGAATATATGGGAATTCTCTGTACCATTTATGTAATTTTTCAGTAAGCATAAAATTACCTTTAAAAGAATCTTAACAGATCAATCAACCAAATATAATGTGTACATCTTGACTAATTCTGAGTCAAATAAACCAACTATAAGAGGACCTTTATTTTTTATTATAATTATTATTATTTTGGTAAAAGAAATTACAAAAATGACACAGGGGCAGCATCTTCTTACTTCAGCAGGGAAAAGGAGAATCCAACTCAACATAAGCCCAAAGTCAATTCTTAGGAGACTAAGGTCAGACATGCCTCCAGCCTTCTACCTTCTCTACCAAATCTGAAACCAAACATTCCTCGCACAGAACTCTCTACATTGCAATGGCCACACACAATTCACATATCATACTCATAATTATTTCATTTATTAGAAAGATATTACAGTGAAACGTGCAAATATCTGGAGTTAGAAAGCCAAATGGGAAGAATACCCTCAGCATTTCTCAAGCTGAAAGAACTGAAGAAAAAAATTTTCAAGCCTTGATTTGTAATACTGAAAGATTCTATGGGCAGAATATTGAACAATGTAGGAAGCATTAAAACACAATGGAAGGCAGGAGCAGAGGACCCTGGGACCATCAAGGGAGAAAAGCAGAGTGTGGGACTCTATCCAGAGAAGCAGTGACATCAGAGATGAAGGCAGAGATGATAACTTGGAGAGATGGAGCGAGTCGGGATCAAGACTCAAGGAGGGAGAAGGGCTGTGTGCTGGTGACCAGGGGGCAGGATTACAAGGTATGCCCTTTGGTTGTTTGAATGATTATATATTCCTGAGTGCTTTGGTGTACATAAAAAAAAAAAGTCAACATAAAGGCTTCTTTTTGTGCCAGTAGCACTCCTGCAGACTTGGTAAACATTCCTAAAATCCACCAGACTTTCTTTAAGAAGTGTAGTAAGCGCCAATCCCACAAAGTGACAAATTACAAGAAGGGCAAAGATTTTCTGTATGCCCAGGGAAAGTGGTGTTATAACAGGAAGCACAATGGATATGGTGGGCAGACTAAGCCAATTGTCTGTAAGAAAGCAAAAACTACAAAGATTATGTTCACTCTGGAATGTGTTGAGCCAAACTGCAGATCTAAGAGAATGTTGGCTATTAAGAGATGCAAGCATTTTGAACTCGGAGGCGATAAGAAGAGAAAGGGCCAGGTGATCCAGTTCTAAGCATCATCTTGTTTTATTTTTAAAACAATAAAATCTTCATGTTAAAAAAAAAGACAATAGAAAGAATACACCATCACTGAAACAACAACAACAACAAATTGGCCAATGTTCAATCATTTCAAGAGGTACCATATGATCAAGAACCAATGAATGGTACTGAAGGAAGAAGTCCAAGCTGTACTGATGGCACTAGTGAAAAACAAGGTTCCAGGAATTGATGGAACACAAATTAAAATGTTTGAAAAAACTGATACAGCACTGGAAACACTCACTCATTTATGCCAAGAAATACGGAAGATAGTCACCTAGCCAACTGACTGGAACAGACCCATACTTGTGCAC